AATGGTACGTGGCTGATTCTATAGATCTACTCTTTCTGAAACCATGTTGAGATCGCGTTAACAGATTATTGTGCTCTACAAAATTTACTACTATATTGTACACACAGCGTTTAATGACTTTAGAAAATTCTGTTAGAAGTGATATTTGGCGATAATTATCTATTACTTGTTTATCGTATTTTTTGTGAAGGGGAAACACAAGAGAAACTTTCAATAAATTTGGGAATTCACCTTAAGCTTGTTAAAGGCGTGATAATATAAGCAAGCATAGTTTTCAATAGTTTTGGTAATATCTCGTCAATTCCTGAACAGGTTTTATTTTTCAGTGATTTAATAATATCAGATACATCGGTTTCAGTTAGATATGGGACAAAAATACTATTTAGAGAATTACTGGAAGCAGTACAAATGAAAAGAAGATTTTTTTCCGAAATAGTCATCTGTTTTGTTTTTGCAGATTTTCGAAAATTGTATTGCAAAAGTATCGGCCACCTCCTTTTTATCTGTTATCAAGCGATCATCACATTTTAGACTAATTTCCTCCTTGCTATTGCATTTTCTGTTCAAATTTTCATTTATAATTTTCCATGTTTCCTTGATTTTATTTGGAGCTGAATTTATTCTATTATTAACATACTGAGATTTTGCTTTGGTTATGAATTGTCTGTATTCGCTTTTTTTCAGCGAGTATTCTTTTTTTATAGCATTGCTGTTTGACACTGACAAACACCAGTGCAGAATTTGTAAGTAATTTTTAATTTCTGCCAATTCTGGAGTATACCATTTAATGTGTGTACGCCTGATAATATCGTTTATATTTACAAGTGGGCAGCTGACATCAAGGCACCATTTAATGTTGGTGATAAATTCTGAGTATGCTTCGTTAGCATCATTTAATGAATAGAATGGATTTCAGTCAGTTCTACTTAGATATGTGAGCAGATTCTCCAAATTGGAATTCCTCAGATCACGAAGCTTTTATGAGACAATTTGTCTTGATTTTCTTTGGGAAAAGAATTTTTCAGTAGAGAGAAAATGTGCGAAAAATGATCACGTAGATTAGGATTTATGATGTCACAGCGATAAAGTTCTAGAGGTATATTTGTGATGACATAGTCAATAGCGCTGCTGGTTTTCCGTTCAAGTTTGTGAATACACGAGTAGGTTCATCTGTTGTTACCTTTAGTTGAAAAGATTCCAAGATATTATTCAAAGTCTTCAACTTGTGGGTATTTATTTTATTGTAATGAATATTGAAATCTCCAGTTAAGATGATTTAATGAATTTAATGCTTAGAACAAATTTTCTTCAAACATCCTTAATTCCCCTGATCTGGGTCTATAAACGTTTATTATTGCAATATGACAATCCCCGATTATGTAATCAACCCCACACAGCTCTATATGAGTTTTTGAAGATAGCCTTTTGATATAGGGTATCTCGCTAGCTTTTGCACTGTTTGTTGCATATATGGCAGATCCACCATGAATATGGAGTGATCTGGAAAAGTGAGAGATTAAGTTGTAATTCGAAAGAGGTATGCTTTCGATATCATTGTTTTGATACCAATGTTCGCAAATGCAGACTATTTCAATATCATGGCTATGGATAATAATTTACAGTTTTAGTAATGTGTTATTCGAACACTGAACGTTTACATAGAAAATATTAATATCAAAGTTGTTATCACAATGATAGGGAATTGTATGATCTAGTCTAAAAAAGAAGAATCTGTTCTATCCTCGTCACAATTCTTTTCTTCACTCAAAAATCGTCGCCCTCTCTGGAAGTCGAAACGTTCAAAAACAGTTTTCCTTGGCCAGAAAGTCGCGTCATAATTTTTTTCTTGCAGATGGGGTCAAACACCCCATGGATGGAGTCGTAGAAAGCCAAAAACTTTCTTTCCCACAAATGAATCACTCATAAACATATAAACCTTTCAATTTTTAAATGATTATTTTAAACTAAATGAGGTTTTCATTATCCGTTTCTTCTGTCTAGGAAAATGAGACAAGGAGGTATTTACACCTTCCCCGAGTGATATAATAAAAATAGGCTTTCCCGACTAGAGTCACGATCAGAAAACCAAAATCCAGGCTTGTAGGTTTTTTTTTCTACTAATTGAGAAACGACCGTTTCTCCCAAGTCTTCGAAAAGCAAACACTGACACCAATTCCAACAATCTTGTGCCCTGTTCTGGTTTGTACAGGTCCCTTGCTGGATGCATTATACAGGGCTTTTCATGATGAGCGTTAATTAGCCGTTTCTGACAAACTATTTAACGGATCAACCTGAAAATTTCACAGTATGCATAAATCAATATGACCTACACGCCTACGATTTTTCAAATGGAACATATGGGCTGATGAAAACCCTCACGCTATTGTCGAAACTAACCATCAAGAACAGTTTTCTCTTAACGTGTGGCTCGGTGTTATTGGGGATGATTTAATTGGGCCTCATTTTCTACCTCCTCGATTAAACGGTGAGGCATAAGTTCAATTTTTAAGAGAAGTGCATCCAGTACTGCTGGAGGAAGTTCCTTTGGGCGTCAGAAGGGATATGTTTTTATGCATGATGGGGCTCTCGCCCATTTTAGTCAAGTAGCACGTCAGCATTTAACTGAAACATATGCAAATCAGTGGATAGCTAGGACGAGGAGGACCACAGAGCTGGCCCGCTCGATCCCCGGATCTCAATCCTCTCGATTTCTCTATTTGAGGCCATTTACAGCATTTGATTTATCGTACTCCTGTTCGCGATGTGGAGGACTTAAGAAACCGTATCATCGATGCGTGAAAGGTAATCAGAGAGACTCCAGGAATATTTGAGCGAATACGTGGCTCAGTTCGGTAATCAGAGAGACTCCAGGAATATTTGAGCGAATACGTGGCTCAGTTCGCCGACGTCTAGACGCATGCGTAATGAATGAAGGTAGACATATTGAACATTTACTATGATTTCTACATGTTGTGTGTTTTGTTATTAATAAATCAGTTTTGTTTATTACCCTTCAATCGTTTAATGCAGGTACCTACTAACTACAAAATATTGATAAATCCAGTTCGCATTTATGACGATGTATCTCTGTAGTTGTTCTTGAAATAATTTCTTGCTGCGAACTGGTTTATTTTGGGCAAAAAACCCAAGAGACAATTTTTGTCTTGGTAGTACAAAACGTCAGGTTAATTTCAATATTGTAACTTTTTCAGTGCTTGTGAAAAATATTGTTATACAAATTTTATGTACCCCCTTTAGGAAGCTTTATCTTAACAAGAGATGCTCCAATTAAGTTTCTTTATATGAAAGATCCTATCTTTTTTTCGATGAGGAATCACCTCCTTAAATGTTTTACACTTATTCAGTTACACCCTGTATAAACTGAAGAGTAGGGGTCCAATACCGACTCTTGTGATAGACCTTTATCAATTTCGAAAAATTCAAAAACTTTTCTATCATATAGTACCTACTGCATGAGTTCTATCGCTTAAATATCATGATGGAAGTTTGGTAGCTTTTCTGCTGATCCCTACATAATTAAAAATGGCTTGTAATATTCTGTGATTGAGAGTATCAAATTCCTTAGAATAATCCACTGATATCAAAAATCATACTTTCACTTTATCAATAGAATCACTTATGTCATCAGTAATCTTTAGAAGAGCCGAAATGCAGCTATGACTTGGCCTAAAACCAGATTGGTTATTGGTTATTTTGAATTCGTTTTTCGATATATTTTTTCGAATTTGGTTTTCAACAACATTCTCCAAAATTTTTGATTAAGGGGGAAGTATACTAATTGGTCTGATATCATTTAGGCTGATAGGATTTGAATTCTTGGGCCGAGGGAGATGGTTTCCACGCGTATAAACAATATAAGTAAACCCAACTTCATGCGGAATACAAACAATCAAGAGAGAAAATAAAAATCTTGATGATAGTTTGGACAAACTCGAAATATCCAAATAACACTAAGAAATCAACTCCATATCATACAGGGCGTGCTAAAATTACTATTATTTCCATTGTGCATAAAAGTAGTCAAAAGTTCATTTTTTCACGGTAAATTGAAAGATGGTGAAAAATGCTTCAAAATGATAGGTTTTGATCCCAAATGAATTATTAGCATTTGTGAAAAAATACATATATCCGCTTAGAGCCGTTGTTATGAGGTGTTCAGGTAGGCACGTTCATGTTTTCCGATCTTTAAATTAATTTTCGTAATATTTAACTCAATCAAAGACAAGTGAAAATGCAAAGACAAGTGAAAATGCAAAGGTTTCGAGATAAAACCACAGGTGAATGAAATGATATTTATATATACATACTCTGAACTCACTGGATTCAATTATCCATTTTAAACAATATAAAAAATCTCAGAAATCAGGTGAACGTTTATTCCTCATCACCAATGATTATGAGGTACGTTAAGAAAAAAACAAGAATTTGGAGAGTCATGGATTTGGAGAGTCCAATCGTTATTTTTTATTATGATAATATACATGCTTCTGAAGTATGATAAAATTTTCAGCTGTATACATTGTTTACTTTGTCTATGTCAGCTACGAAGGTTACACGTGTTTCAAAAACTCGTTGATTTAAAATTTGTATTGAATTTGGTGTCAAAAATGGAATGAAGTGTAACAAAGTATGTGAAATGATGACAAAGGCCTATATCAAAGGATGCATGCACCCAGTCTTAAGCAGTATGTCGCAAGTTTGAAGTCTTGAGAATTCATGTTTTTCATTCGTTACTACTGAAAAAATACCACTCATGCACATAGATATTATGAGTAAGTATATATATTTGCGCTTGGGCATGAATGTTACCACTGAAAATCAATAATCAACTGCTCAAGATATCTTACGACTTGCCATTTACAATACAAGTTCTAACTGAATTTCAAGGATTTATGAATTATTATTTTAGATTGTAAATGCAATAATGATTCAATGTTGTATTTCTCACATATGTAAGCTTGGCTATGGCATTGCTTTTAACAGATAAATTGTCTTGTCTGAGTTCCTGTTTGATTCCTTCCATGCATTCTGAAATATATTTGGCCTAAAAATGAATACACTGAAAAAATATCAACATAACCTTAAATAAAGTTTGTATTATCACCTCATTTTCCTTGTTATTTCGAATTCCTCTTACTAAATCTGTTAAATTTTTATCGAACATTCGCTCTATGTTTCCTTTTACCTTTTTTAAAGCCATTTTTGAGCTGAAAAATGTTCAAAATCAATAAAAAATTCGTAGATTTCAATATTGACATGACTATTTTAGAGATAACTCACGGTTTTGGTTTCTGCTATATTTTCGTTCGTAAAGAAATTCATTTATTTCATATCATATCACAGATTCTGTTTAATTGCACAGCTCTTTAAATAAACAAAAATCCATAGCTATATAAACTGAAATATCAAAATTCAGATGTGTAAAGGTATTTTTTTTCTTGCAGAGTTTTTCTGTCACCCCTTTCGCCACGTTCACAAAATTACAAAAACAAAGGGAAGGGAAGTGTTCTTTCGAATTCAGAACGCACTTTCTCAACAGGTTATTGACTTTACTCATTTCACTGTCAGGAAAAATATAATAATATGTTAATCTTTAATGAAAGGTTAATTGAGATGATCCGATTGGAATATCTTTATTAAATTCCATTTTAACATTTTAATTAGTGTATATACATAATATATAATGTCTCCAAAAGATTTACCGTCAAGCGTTAAAATATGTGTTCCGAGCTACCTACCTTCAACCACAAAACTCTGGAGCGATTCGCAACAGTTGCAACTTGGCTCTCATGTTTTTGACGGGAAAGCTCACCAAAGTTTGTTGTTACAAATTTATCCAGTGGCGATTCTAAAACTCAAGGGCGGGGATACACACACACACCATAACTAGGCGCCAAGATTCAGTAGAAAGACACAGGTATTTGAAGTAATACTATATTTCCCATTAAGAAAAGAAATAATATCACAGAACTCTAATAAAATAAATATTTCAATAATAAACAATGCGCACTATCAAAAAGCCAGCATACAAAACAAAACATTTTATTACCTCTTGGAGAGTGTCTCTATCTGAATCAGTAGAGTAGTGAGGGTGAGTGTAGACCCACACCACTTAGGCCACATATGACCCATTGTACATCCTTCCGAGGAGTTGTCCGCGTAGGTCATCGTCCATCTTGTCTTTTCCAGGAAGGTGGACAGGTCACTAAAAGACATCTCCTTTATATTGGCGTTGGGGTTCCCTGTTGGGGTTCCCTCCGTGGAGGTGCACAAGTGAGGGAGCTTTCCTGCAGGGGCAGCCGGTTCCTTGCCTTTGTTCAAGGCGTAGATCTTGGCGCCCACTGCAGGAAGTGCCCTTGCTGTTGGAGTTGGAGTGGGGAAGGAGGGGGGTGCATACGCAATACCCCGAAAAAGTTAATGTTTGGGTTGCTATATTGGGAGATGCAATTATTGGTCCATTGGTCCATTATTATTAGAAGGAAATTCAAATGGCAAATTGTATACTTACATGTTAGAAACCTCTATCGAACCTCGGATATTTCATGAACTTAAGAATCAGAGTTATACACGGCAATTCATCTTTAAAAAAATTTATTGCATTTTCAACAGGATGGGGTTCCAGGTAAACAATAGTCAAATAATATTTTTTCTAATCAATTTATTGGAAGAAGAGGTCCTATTGAATGGCCTCCTAAATTCCCGGAACCATCTCCTCTTGAGTTCTTCCTCTGGGGCCACCTAAAATCTGTTGTTTTTAAAACTACTATATATCAAATATAGCCATTGTAAGACTTCAAGTTGTCACTCTGTATGTGCAGGCACTGATGTGAATGTATCATTTACAGTGTTTCAGCGATTACACGACTTGTCCATCAGGCACATTCAAAACGCGTTCTAGTCATGAGATATATAAATAAGAGTTATGTGCGTTACTGACTGGCAAAATGAATGGTTTGCATTTGTTTTTATTGATTGATCCAATTATATTCTGTAATTTATAATAATCGAATTTAAACAGACCTAATAAAAACTAAAAGTGGAACCTCTGGCGTGGAATAAATTCGTGGCAAGCACTTTTGCCAATCACTAAAACTGCAATACTCTTTTCAACGCTCGTTTTACCAACCAAGTTGGCGTCTTCGATATGTGAGTTTTCACTTAAGTGTTTAGAATATACCTATGAGACATACTTTAATCATAGTAAAAATCAACCAGTATAAGTCCAGTCCCACTACTTTCATTCATAAATTCACAAAGTTCTCGATGATCTCGAAACGAATTGCGGCGTCAATTTCGTTCTTTTACTATAGGCGTGTGCTGATATAAAAACGAAATTTTAGGATATTATAGAAGATTTTGTGGTAAGTGACTTATAACCAACCACAAAAACTAAAAACAGTAATAACAGCTAATAAACCGAACACAATATCAATTTCCGACCGTTTATTGTTACTAATCCGATGCTCGTTGGCCGTCGAATCCTTCGATACTACAGCACTGAACGCGTTGGATGAGAATCTCATCCTAAGAGCTGTTGAAGGCCTTCGGCAACTCAGGCGGATCACGTGGTAAGATAGCCTACTGGTTGTATTATTCTACTGTGCTTTAATGTTATTGGTGAGTTTAGTGTATAACATTGAATATCTATATTGCATTTACATTAAATGTTTAGTGTGAATATATCGCCATTAGCCATTCCATTACTATAATTATTATAAAGTAGAGTCAACACGTGCAAACATAGACTTGCATAAAGTTGAATATTTGCATTCAAATTCAAATAATTTACTTTGGGATGTTTGAATGAAGATGACTGAGAAAAGTGGTCAGCAGAGTAGATAAATAAATTTCTTAATGGGTTTGAATCTTATCTGTGCTTATGGAATGTACATTGCAAAGATACGTACGTTCCATCAGAAAAACATATGCTTTAGAATTAACAAAAATCAAGAAAAACCAACATTCGGAGGAAGGTGCACTTGAAATATACAAACAGAAAGTGGTTTTCAATAGAGGACTGAATTTTGTGGCAGTTGTTGAAAATAAGAGAACGCAAACAACAAAAATTGTAAGCATTTTCATATTTATAACATGTTATTGTTCATTTATCAAATTCATTTGCCTAGAAACAGCTTCGTCATTCTTAAACTATTCAGCGAACATATATCTGAGATCTGCAGCTTTTCGAGATGGTCTGGAATATCGGAGTGTGTCAGTTTGTCTCCACAAACTTTCTACTATCAGGCCTATGCGCCGAGCACGAGAAAGCCAGTAATATAATTTTAAAAACCCTTTCTTCTTGTGTAAGGGGACAACGGTGTGAATACAGTTTCAGCAAAAACTCTTTAAGGGAGATGTCGTCGTCAATTACAAACACTGTATTTGGGAGAAGCTTCAGTAAATTATCCTCCTCCGTCAGATACTCTTCCGTTAGCACCCACATCTGTACGAATATATTGAAAACAGTATCAGTGATCAACTGATCAACTGGGAATGTTCCTCAATTTGGGTCATTACAGCAAATGCAAGTTTGAACAAAATACAGTTGAGTTTAATTCATGAGTTTTTCAAATTCACTTCGAAAAGTATTCAAATTGATGTTTCAAATATTGGGTTTTAATTTTTAAAAGGATTTGTTTCTAATTCACATATTTGCAACAACGCCTATATCAAGTTGAAATAATTTATACGTACCTAGATATTCTACTTTAAAAATAATTCCTTCAAAGTTAAATACTTCCAGAATACCTTTTGATCTCGATTTGATTTGAACTTCAACTTGAAAATAAGAAATCATACTATATTTTGAAATCTTTGACTGTAATGGAAAAAATTCATAACTATAGTTTCATGACTATATTTCGTAGGAGTATCAATGGTTATTATCCTATTCAACATAATTACCTCCGAATCACAGTGGAATGACTGACTAGCAGCCAAGTATCCTATCCTTTTCAATGTAAATTTACTAGAGCTCATAACCTCGATTATATTGAATCCGGCCCAAGATATATCATAACCAAGCATTTGGAGCTGAAAACAAAATGAAATAATTACTCAACGGAACTTCATCGTCATACTGTTCTTAAGTTAGAACCAGAACGAACTTTTATATCGTGGAGGAGAATTGAATGATGTTCAAATGTCGAGGTTGAATAAAGTCTTCTTGGGGAACCATATTTTTTGCAGAAATCACATTTCCGTGTAGAGAGAACAGCGCGTGAATATGGCATTTTTCAATTACAAAATAATCATTCATTCATGAAATGGAAAACACATGATTCGTTTTGGACAAATGAATAAACATTTTCAAAACTTGATGAACACCGTACATATAATGATTGACAGATAATTCTTGAGTTAACAAATATTGTTATGTCATATTTTGAAACAAATATTTGTTATAACTATTATTTCTTCAGACCCATTTTTGAGCTGATCCTACTATTGTTAACTTGGAAATGGTGAGGCTCACAAAATTGATTGAATTAAAAAAACGTTGCTTATTTGGGGGGACAATGAAATCATTTTTAGATCGTGACTATCGATGGACAATTTATGTCTCAGAAAAGTAGAGACCAATATTCTTCGTATCCAGAACTCAAAGACATAGATTAACAAAAATATCTTGAACATCTCATTCAAGATACAGTGATAGTCGATAAAACCCAAAATTACTATCCAAGAGTATATAGAGGCAATAGAAATTCTAATATACAGAATAATTTCAGTAGAAAAGAATAAGCGATGAACATTAATGAAATCTCGCTACCTCTCCTTAATGGTACATAAACCAAATCTGGTATTCCAATTAACAGAAACCATGACCAGTAATAATAATATAAAACCAGATTCAAATACCAGCACCGTTAAAACTGCATTCGGAACAATGACTCCAGCACCAACTCAGGCACTGCGACCGTTACCACATCACCTTCGATAATGTCGACTGCAGTACTAGACGAAACGTCAGACATAAAAACCTGCAGACCACGGCCAAAAAACCCGAAAAATACAATTTTTGTTTAAAATACAATTATTGTTTGAAAAGCAATTATCACCAGCAATTCAGCCACGAATATAGATACATATATTTTTTGACGTCATCTCATCAAAATTCAGTCACTGAAAATAAGAGTCATATTTTTCTATTGTTATAACGCGGAAACACAATGATAAATCCGTATCAAATAAACGTAACATATTAATAAACAGAAGGAAATTATAGTTCACTATAACAACTTTTTTCCAATATTTTCCCATTTGTCGATAAATATCAGAAAAAAGCTCTATAATAACTAGTTTTCATATGGTAGTTGTCTACTATATCAAAAAGTAGAACAAATGCATAAGCATGGACATTCATGTCTACATAAAAATTTTCAAGAGACACAGTTCTACATAAGTTATACATAAAAACAATATTGTTTACTTATTGAAGAAATATCTTATGGGAATTATATGTCCTGACACTGATGATATTTTTCTGAAGAGAAACGTCGGGAAATACATGTGTTGTGACATATTGCTGAATTTGT